CACCCAAACCACAGCACCAAAATCATTGTGGGAAGCAGTAGTATGGCAGACAACAGAATATGGTCTGTTTACTTTTAAAAGGCTATTTTTGCCCATTTCCCACTTTTCAGTCTTGATATTTTGTCACTGACCACATTGCCCACAGAACTAAAATGCTTTTCAAAATAGACCCTAGAGGGTTTGTAGCTAAGATATGGTGTGTGTTACTACAAACATTAGGTTTTTCTTTTATTACCAGTAAAACAAAGGAATTTTTAATGCCAGATTTAAATGGTCATTCTGAAAAGCTTAAAAGAAGACAATTCCCAATCCCCTTTGTCTGTTACAGTTAAATGACCCTTAGGATCAGAAAGATAATAATCACCCCTATGTTAATGCTCGTTTACTTGTGAAAGAAATATCTGCTAAAGACAAATCACATTTTGCATTTACACCTGTGAAACCTGATTGGCATAAGTAGAGTCAAGGATCTGACAATGAAAACATTCCCACCTTCCCTTGAACAATTCAAAGCTGTCCATTGTAGTTATCCCCATCTGTAATTCCAAACTGGAGGTGTCTATTACAGAAACAAACATTGGAGCTACTACATACATAGAAGCTTTATTTTTAAATATTTCAGACAGTTTTTCAAAGTTGGAAAAGAGATAAGCAGTTTTTGTCAGTGTAAATATGCATCTCTGAGCCCGATTCAAAGATTCTTGAAGTCAATAGAAAGATTCACATTAACAAAACCAGGTTCTTTCTACAGTAAACTCCTGCATATTTCTTCTATTTATTGTATTTATTTCCAAAAAGAGAATGAGGGGGGATTTTTTTGTTTGATGTCCAGTTAAAGAACTCAATTATTTTATTGCAGAATTTCTACATTTAGAAAATATGACCTACTTCGGTCAGGATGAAAAGAATGACAACTCCAGTTTACTGTGAATGGTATATTTAATGATTGCTCATCTCTGCTCAAGAGTTTGTCAAATCAAATTGTACATAGACTTCCATCTATTTTTTAGATCTTCACTAAGATGTAGATAAAGAGGCTTGAGGGAATTTTTTTAGCTGTATCAAATGAAAGGTAGTATAAAAGCCTTTGGAAATCTACAAAAGTAGTTGCACATTTTCTGTACTCTGCATAATGCAGTTGTGACATGTTCTTCGATACTGAGAAACACCTGCATGATTGAATTTGAGAAATGAGTGTCCTAATAGACATAAGTAAGACCAGGCTCCTGAGTACCATACTTTGGTTTTATGACTATCATTGTCAACATATAGAAGTGACATATGAGACCCTAGATCATCCAGATTTATCATCCTGATTTTGAATGGCCTCAACAATGTCTGTTTGTAAGGGAATTTGCAACTTGGGGCAAAGCCATTTTTCTAGTGTGTGCTGCTGCTACAGTCAGTGCCTCTTCTTTCCTGCAGTGACCAAAGTAACAAATAGAAGTAGTACTAGGCATAATATTAAATATTCTCTTCAATATTTATGCCTCATCTTGTATGCTACAAGCAATGCCTCATTTTGCCACTTGGCCACATATCGGAGCTAAAGCATATGACTTTGCCCCTGCTCCATTTAAGCACATATTTTACTTTATTGATTGATAAGGCATCAAAAATTCAAAGGACAGGAATAGCAGAGAAGAGTTATTTGCTCATTATGGAATTGCAATATCTATTATAGATCTAGTAGCTTTTGGAAGCCAATTTTCTTAAATTTTGACTACTTTCCATATTATATTGTGCATAGATTAAAATATATTGTATAAAATAACTTGTCTTTTGCCGTCCTCTGGCAAATTCTTCTAAAATATAGTGCAGCTTTGAAGCAGCAATGACAACGCTAAGTTTTTATTCTACTGCCATCATAGAAGTTCAGGAGTTGATGATGCAAGCAGAGGTAGATTAGGACAAGATGTGTGGACCTTTAAGTGGCCTGGTGCAGACATGAATCAGTGGAGACATCTACACAAGATACTTACTGTGGCATTGCCTAATTAGTTTCACAGTGAAGTGTCGGTGTCTACATGTGCAGAGCTATTAGGCTGGAGTAAATTAATTAACTCAACCATAATTATAGGCGGTCCTTGGACTCACAACACAAATGGTTCCTGAAAACTGCATCTTAAGTCTAAACATTGCAACTCAGAACTGATTTTCCCATAGGAAACAATGTTATAAATGGGGGATTAGTTCCTGAACCAAGGCCAAATACCCTATTTTCGCCAAAAGTAACCCAGAATTTTGTACTTAATAAATTATATATGAATAATGTAGCTATATAATGTATTTATATTGTAAACAGCTACCATTTGGAAGGACTTCTTTGAGGTGACTTTGCTGGACTTTTTGAAGGGCTCTTGGTTGGACTTTTTGAAGGGTTCTTGGCTGGAGTCTTCTCAGGAGTCTTGGCTGCAGGTTTTTCTGGAGTCTTGTCTGCTTTCTCAAAGAAAGTGTCCAAGGAAGTTTGGACAGATGTTCTCCAGGGAAATGAGCAACACAGCGAACTTGTTCGCTGGCTTGGCATCGCAACGGACCAAGAGGCATAAAGTTGAAACTGATGTCAGAAAGTCGAAACAGGGTGTCAATTTATATATGTTGTAAGTGCTTTTCACTGCAACTAGAAATGTTGTAAGTCAAGGGCTGCCTGTAGTACTGCCCAATACAAGTACTATCCTATAGTGGAGTTATTTGCTGCACCACAGTGCATATATAGATGGTGACCAGGCTGGTTGGGTAACAAGGGTGCTACACTGTGGGAATTCCTGCCAGCTAGCCTCTTACTGTAGCACCCCCCAGTCCTCCTGCTGGCTGTGGCTGTGCTGCCTTGGCTCAACATGTTGCAGTCCTGGATGTACATGTAAACTCTGTGCTGAGGAGCAATAAACTCCAGCATGAACCATGCCAGAGTTTGTTGCATCATGCTGATTTCATGTGTAGATGCCCTTAGTAAGAACCAAAGGGCTCATCTGCAGTAGGTGCATTACAAGTAAAGCCTAAGGAATCATATGGAAGAAGGTTGAGATAGGTAGAAAGATTAATTTTAGCAAGGCTGGGTAAGAAAAATCAAGAAAACTAAAAAGGTCATGTAAATTTATAATGAATTCATATTTTGAATATATTTATACACCTATATATACACAAGGCATATTAGAGCAGCTATTCAGCAATGGCTTACTAAGTAATATCTGATAAAAAGAAAACCATATGGAAATTCTTTTGGGCTGATCAAGTGGTCTCTAGATTGCTAGCTTATCCACATTATATTTGCACTTCAAGGTCAACATATGATATAGATCATCAAGGGAATGATTAAAAAGTTGACATCAACAAGAGGTTTTAAGCATCTTCTTTTCAGACAAAAAGCAGTGATGAAAGAGACTGCAAGACTAAGAAGTGTAGGATTAAGGAGGAGAAGACAGTATTACTACAACAAACAAAGAAATTCTTAATGTTGAATAATCTAGAATTCACTAATTTGTCTTGCAGTCACCATTGGTGATGCTGCTTAGTTTGGCTATGCGTGGGTGGGGGGAGGGTGTTCTAGTAATGGTGGTTTGATACATATGACAGTTACTGCCATCACTGGTCCCAGTCAACTCTAAAAGAATCATAGATCTAAAAGAATCATATGAGAAACCTCTTCTAAATGCCTGACTGTATAGTCTATGGTTGAACCTTGTGCCACAGCTACTTGTCCCCAGGGAATACCAGTGCTACATGCACTTTGGCATAGGGCAAGTTTCCCTAGGGCTAGTAGGGGAGCCTGGGGCTAGCACTGGGCTGGCCCCAGCAGCCTTACCTGGGATCCTGGGGGCCTCAGTGGTGATCCTACCAGGAGGAGCCTGGCTGGCACCTGCAGCACAGCTCTGGACAGCCCAGTTCCACTTTTCAGCAGTGCACGCTGCCCATGCATGTGCTGCTCTGCTTCTTTTTTCCATGAGTTTTTTTGATTTCTGGGTATCCAGGAGTCAAAGGATATCCAGGGGTTAAAAAAAACCTCAGAAAAAAAAATGGAGCAGCGTACACATGGGCAGCACACCCTTGCAGTAAGAAGAACACCTGATTGTGTGGTATGTGGCACTGCAGACATGTTTGTTGTGTTTGGACATGCCCAGAAAGTTTATTGTTACCTGATGGGACCACCCAAATGTACAGGTGTATTGGAGCAAGACTAGAAATCAAATCAAGTAATAACTAAAAGCAAATTTTCTTTCAAGTGGTATGGGAATTTCACAGTACAGAGGTCATGCAGAATCACACTGACATGAGACCTCCATTAATTAGTGCATTTAGGATAATTGCTTTTTTGCATCTGGATTGATGGATAGAAAATATTGTGGAAACTATCAAACTTTAAGCAAGCCTCACTCCACCATGTGCAGGAATTTGTTTCTTTTTATAAACATTTATATATCTGCAATGTAAATATTGCATTAACATACCAGTTGTATAGATGGAGAAACTGAGGCAGAGACAGCAACTGGGTGCATCAACATGTGCAATTAATATGACACAAACTCTGGAGCCATTTGAGCCAAAGGGAACTGCTCCTGGAAGCAGCGTCTACATGTGCACCCAGGACAGCAGCAATTTGAACCAGGGTGGAACAGGCCTCTGGCTTGGCTGGGCTGACTGGGTGCAATTTACACCTGAAGACAGCATCCACAAGTCCATTTCAGCGCAGTGAATTACTCTATTGTAAAATAGTCCTATCCCCAAGCGTACTATTTTATGGCAGAGTTCATTAATTCACTGCGATCTAATAGCGCTGCATATGTAGACAATGATACTTTACTGCAGAGTAATTAGTCTGCTCCACAGTAAAGTGCCCGTGTAGATGCACCCACTGACTTGCTGAAGGTTGCAGATGGAATCAGTGTCAGCACCAGGACATGAATAGAGGAGTTCTCCTGCTTGTAAGCCTATGCTCAATTAACACTATTTATTCATGTAACCATATAGCATTAAAGATAATCATTTGCTTTTTACACTTTCAGGAAGTGCATTTGAAGAATACAAGTAGAGGGAACACAGGAAGCAGGAACTACAGAATGTAAGAAATCACCATCCACACGAGTGAAGAATGAATGTGCCATCTGCAGGATACTCTCCTGTAAATAAATTATTTGTTAAACATTGGAAGACTTAAACACTATTGTTCAACAAGCTTGATGAAATCTCAACCGATGGGCATTCTCCCAATGAACAATGCAAGTAAACATTCCAATACTGAGTCTTTAGGAGAGCAGAATGTTATAAACCAACCTAGTGCTATGAAGCTTCTGAGGTTGATAGATTACTGTTTGATTGTTAACCTGTTATAAATGATCCTGCACAAAAACTCTTAAAGTCCTGTGCCCCTCAAAAGCCTGCAAATTTATGGGCCTTTGATGGATCCAATTGCACTAAATTAACCTATGAACCCTGGCTGCTGGAGTCATTCATCAGCCTTGTCTAAGTGTTTTTTTTTATTTGCACTTCTATACAAGCAACAGGCTGTTTGCTTTACAGTGTCTGATAGCATTGTTTGTCTACCCCTTTCATATTTGCACAGTTTGACATTCCCAGTAGCAGCAGCAGCAAAGTAACAAAAGCAATTTTTGGACATCTATTGATTCCATCTGTGGCATTTTGACAGCATATGGGTTAGATGCATCAATTTTAATTATAGCTTTATTTTTTGTCTTGCCAAAATGCAAGTGGTTGCAACTTGTGAGATACATGATTTTAGAAGCAGTTAAGCATATGTATGCTCTCAAGCCCTCAATGATTATTCCAGGTAACAAACTGTTTTGCAACAGTATAGGCAATTTCTTTCCTCCTCCATATAATGCAGTATGTAAAATTTAGCATATCAATAATACACATATATCAAACAGTATGTAAAATTCTGTTTTATAGTACAATGGTGCTATTTTGTAGTTTGTTATATGAAAGGGTCTGGCCAAAACTGTAACAGGTAAAAGCAAACACAGAAAAACCAAGCCAAAGATAAAATGAAAAGGAAATAGGTTTAAAAACCACGCGTGCATTTTTAAAAACAAACTTAATAAATGGAAATTCTTTTCTTGCCTTCTCAAGGAAGTAAAGCTAGAAATAAAATTACAGTATTTTCCTGAGATTTGGATTCTAAGATTTATGGAAAAATGGTAGAGTATTCTAAACACAGTCTCATCAGGCTATTGAAGTCAATGGAGTAACATCCATAGACTTGAAAGGGCAAGATTACACCCAAAAACTCTAGGAAATATTGGGCATTCTGCTCTAATGTATCAGAGGATTAATAATACTCATTTGTTTCAATGCTTCCCACACTCCTGTGTAACTAAATCAAGTGTTAATTAGGCTACTGGATCCCTCTGTAAATCAGAAAAGCTCATCTAATCAAGGAAAACAACAGGAGGACCTGCAGAGAGGAGAGGACAGTGTAGTTCTTTGGACCACTTCTTTACAGATCATTGAATGCACCTAGACACCCTGGCAATAGGGCGATTAAATTATAGACTTCATCTTTAATCTCACTGTTTAAACAGCTTGCTATGCTGCATTTTTGTAAATTCATTCAGGGGAAAAAGAGCCTTGGAACAAGATGTGTTGTGGAGCCAACATTTTCCCAGAAAGAGGACACAAATGGAATTAATGTGAAAGTAGCATACTTCAAGGACAGATCTACTGTCTCCCCTACATTTGACCAGTTACATTAAAGGAATGGAGCCATGGCTTTAGCATCCCCATAAGGGAGACCACTATGGCCTTTTTTTCTAGGAAAAAAGCTGGGCTAAACAGTTTTTTGAAGAAAAGAGCAATGTATTCCTCCTGAGTAGCCCAGTAAAATGTGTTCTGTGTACCAGTAGCCATGTCTTGGTTATACATTCAATAGGTATGCATTGCACTAAAAAAATAAAAGAGAGTAAAGCTAAAATGGGCTGCCTGCAGTCACTGTGCAAGGTAGATATTTTAATGAGGGCAACAAGCTAAATGAGTCAGATGTGGAAGGCTAAAATAAGTTATCATCTTTTCCGTTAGTGAGGTATATGAGTATATATCGCTAAACAAACTAACTAGTATAGCCTGGATAACTTTTTCGTTCAAGAAATGACAGTCTGACATTCTGAAATTTGCTATAAGACTTCAGTTACATCATAGACTATCACTAAAGTATGAAAGAAAAGACAGAATTAAGTCTCACTATTAAATATTAAATGGTTTAAAAACTGCAGTCCCAATGAAGTCAATATGGCTCTTGCTATTTCTATTTACTTCAGTGATAGCAAGATTGGAGTTGAAACTCAACAGAAACTAGCATTAATCATTAACAGTTTTGAAAGGGAAGCAGAAAAATTCTTTGCTCAGCAGTAAAAATGTACATCTAGACTGACAATCACATTTGTGCAAAGGGCCTGCACAAAGCTTATTATTATGTTTTACATTATGCTCAGTCAAAGAACAGGACTCCATTATATGGCCCTGTAAATTCAAATAATAAAGACTGTCTCTAACCATGAAAGTTCAAGGTCCAGGGGCCAGATTCTATTCCGCCTATCAGACTCATACATTGTAGCTAAATGCCTAAGTACCTAAATGCAATTCTATTGCACTCTGCTTGATTCCCTGAAAAACGGCTGATGCAATGTGTGGGCAGGTCTTCCTCCTCACTACTTTTTTGTGACTTAGGCTGTGTGTAGATGAAACGAGAGGTGTGTACACATGACACTAAAGCGGGCTAAATGCTTTTGCACTGCTTTAATGGTGTCTGTGTTTGCCTGCCTTGGTGGCATATTGCACATTAATTCCAGCTGCTGTAGGAAATTCGGTGGTGTAATGCGCCTTAAATGACTTGGGATGCATCAAACTAAAGCACCAGGCTCTGTGCAGCTCAGGGGCTCCACAGGAAGCCCTGCAGGCAGCCTGGCAGCAGCCTGGGAAAGCAGCTTTGCCCAAGAAAAGCAGCAAGACTGATCTTTTTTTTCCACCCCTTGGAACCTGCCTGCCTGAGCTGCATGGGAGCCCGGTGCTTTCCTCTGCAGCTGTGGTACCCCCTGGGACTGCCCGAGCCAGGTGCCTGCAGGCAGGTGCCACTTAGTGGAGCTGCCACTGCCATGGAGGGAAGCACCAGCCCCCTCCTCCCCCCCATAGCCCAGAGACTGCTCCACCTGCTGGCAGCTCATCCTCCCCTCCCCACCAGAGAGGCAGGTAAGGTGTGTGCACAACATGGGGGTTTAACCAGCCCTAAATTGAAGCAGTGTTCTATTTACCCACCACTTCAATTTAGGGCCCCTGTTTCATCTACAAACGCCCATAGGTAAAATGAGAGTGTATTACAAAAATAAATGCAGTAATTAATTTCTGAGACTTGAAAACAGTGGAATAGAATTGCACTGAGGTACCTAAGTCCACTTAGATGCCCAATAAATGTAATAAAACCTGGTCCTAAATACCCCTGTGAGGTAAGAGCAGGCCCTGCATGGGCCCTTACGTGCAGAGGTGAATTTCGTCCATAAGCAGTGGCTGCATGAAGACTGCCCTTTCAGTTGACACATATGAATGTACTAAGTCTCCACTACGCCATGCATAGTGGTTCAGTGGCCCACTGTTTTGATGAGCAAGTACAAAATATATGAAGTTCAGAAGAGACTATGTAGCATATTTGCTTTACCTTTTACTGATTTGGCCAAAAATGCCAAAGTGGTGCTATTGTTTTGTTTAAGAAAGTACTTGACTAAAATATAAAGAAAGCATAAATATTTTTTTAAGATATAAAAAATGGCAATTATATAGATATGCTTATTAAAATAGAAATATGTCTAGCCATAAACTTTCAACTTTTTGCCATACAGACGCACAGAAGAAATTTGCTAAATTATTGGAGTTGGGACAGAGGTCAAAGTCGGAGCACAACAAAAATTCACAGGCTTTGAAACCCAATGCTCTTATCAAAGTCCATATTACAAGAAAAGGCAAGCATTTAAACCAGGAGACAGTGGGTATAATTCAAAATAAATTACAGATAATGGAAGATCCCACATCACACTCAAGATTTTTAAGGCAGGCTCTGCACTGAGTCAATGGCAAGACTATCTTAAAGTCAATGGCACCATATGATCCAGATTTTCATTCAGAGGATTAATCACTATTTCCAGGCCAGGTAAAGATATTACACTTTTACCGGTGTAAGTGATCAGAAATTGGTCTATACTCATAACAGAAGTTGGGCACACAAAACTGTAACAGAACAGAAGTTCAGCGCGTAAAGACAGGTTTAAAAATGGCAGAATCCAGTCTAAGATTTGCCCCCCACTACATCCCCACCAAAGGGTGAATGTGTGCTCTGTTTGCTACAGATCTAACTTACGCTGCCTACAGAAAGCTGCATAACTTAGATCGATTCCACCTCAGGATTTTTGAATGTCTGTCCCTTTCCCCAGTTTCTTTTGAATATTTTTTCTGTCTCCCAACTAAAAAGCCAAAACAATTCATAAGGCTTTTTCATTTACCATCTAAAGTAGTGTCTCTGATCTTGTTAGGAAATGAACAAAGTATTTGCAATGTGAAACTGAGGCTATTTTCTCATACTGATTGATTTCTGTGGGAAAAAGTTGAAAGAGATGGCTAGCAGTCTGTGAATTTTTTTTAACTTTATATGGTCACTATGAACATCTTAATGTGTAAAAATGACACATTTCTTTTTTTTTTATGAGAGTTAGTAAGTTAAACCCAAATAGAGATTCTTGAACCTATAGGATAGATAGAATGTTCTGATGAAGTTATAATCAATCTATTTAAAATGTTTTATTTGTACTCTGAAAAGGAATTGTAATTATTTATTAGGCATTCAACATACACAGTTGGTTCCTCTTTTAAGAATAGTGCTCAGTTCAAACAAGTCTTTCAAATGCCAAAGTCTCTCAAATACATTTTTTCATTGTTATATTTTTTAAATGGCAAATCTAGTTAAATTGATTTTGCATCACTGTTTTGTTGTTTAATAGAATGATTTCAGTTTTTATTTTTGGCATTTATTAACAAAAAGTTTAGACTCTGTCTTGGTGTGGTTACTCACAAATTATCAAATTTACCCATTGAAATACCAGAAAGAAAAGAAAATGAATTAAAAGTTATATCTTGAAAGAGGAAAAAATCATAAGTGCAAACTTTCATTCATTTTAATCCACTACACATTTTGCTTGTCACGGCATTGTAATATTCTACAGGACTATCATTGCCAAACACATTATCTGCTATAAATACGTTTGTTTCTGCCTGATTTTACATGAAATTGGTTATGAAAATATCTGACACTTGATTACATATAGTACAGTATAGAGATACCAGTCTAGCAGAGACCAAAACAAAAAGGACCTCCCGGACGCTTGCATTACATTAGGAAGTCTCATATCAGTTGCATAAAGGGTGTGTGTATAGATATTGTGCTTTTCTTTTTTTCCTATTTAATGATTTGACCTCTTGCATATGAACAATTTCTCTATATGATTTAAACATTTTTCTTATGAATCCTTGTTAATAACCCACTGGATTATAATTTTGGAACAGTATTTTAAAATACAGAAGTCTAAAGGAAGATCCTGCACTCATATTTAAGGACCTAGCTAGGTGTCTGGATTTTCAAGACTGTTGCACAACAAGCCCCTCCCATTGAAAATAAGACAAAAATATTTAAGCATCTAAACATAAGTATAAGAACCCAATATTAAAAAAAATTACTTTTCATTCCATCTTTCTTCACCTAAATTTTCATTAAAAAAATAAAACTGTCTCCTTCTTGTAAGCATAATTAACTTAGCATGTCTTCAAGACTTTATCCTTTGCATTCCCGCAAAACATTAGAAAAATGTAAGGAACTTATTTTCTTCTGGTCAAACTTCCTAACTCACAGCAACTTTACAACAGGCAAAATGTAAATTGATGAATCCCTACTTTTAAATGACTGATTTTTAGCCTAGGTCAATTCTTTAAGTTTATTCTGTTTTGCCAACTTGGCTTATCCAATTCATTAAGACCTTTCACATGACACTTCCGCTGCTGGCAATTATGCTTAACACTCTTGTAAACATCTGCATCTATGTACAACCTCTACACAGTTATAGAATTGAAAGTTCCTGCTAAAACAAATAGTACAAATCCAGTTAAGAAATAGTCACATTCTTTCTCATTTTAATTTGATTAAGAAGTTTATGACAGTACATAGTTATATTGTAGTCTAATTTATTGATACTGGCCCATTTCCTCCATGTCAGAACAAAAGAATACTTGTGGAACTGAAAGAATTTCCTTCTCTTTTGGAAAAATTCCATAATTGTTTATGTCCTTTTGTATTAAACAGTAAACTGATAAATCACAGTGAGGAATGATTAACTGAACCAAGCTCAATTATTATAATAATTATCATCATTACACATTTTAAAACAGAATTGAATATTCTATTGTCTTTAATTTACTGACAGCGCTTTGCTATTGTAGGATAAAATTAATCCATCAGCAAAGGCTCAGCATAAAAACCTACACACCACTTAAGTTCTCTTTCAAAGGTTTGAGACATAGGCCTTCTGGGTGCTCAGTGCACAGAGTTAATTTTATTCTTAATATTTGTTACTTTATTGCAGTTAATCCTCCAGATTAACATTGATAAAAGTACTCTACCAGAATGATGTTGTAATTGTTATTATATTCATTTGAAGAGGGGCCTGCATGAAATAGATATATGCAAGCTACCTTGTATAACGCAGTAAATAAAAAGTATATCTTTTGATTTATTACTGTTCCTAAGGAATTTGTACAATTAGATGTATAAAAATGCACCAAAAGATGCAAGAATGATTGTGATATGTTTATAATAAATCAAAGTGGTTACCTGATTAAACTTAGTGTAATGAAACTAGAGTTATAATATGGTCCACTGGTATGCTTCATTCTATTATGTACAGTTTCCAAGAAAAGACTCACAAGATTCATTAGTAGTAAAATATACTGTGTTGCTTTTTATCAGAATGTGGTGTTTCTGTTTTATATTTTCTTAATCCCAGTAGCCTTTGGGGTTGCATATTAAATCCACTTATCATAAAGCTTAGGAAATTTAAGAATCAAAGTTACAATACAAAAACAAGCATCACTAACCATCTTGCTACTACTCTTCAAATCTTGTGTACTCTTTGAAACTGACAGGCCACCAAAATGTGCTGACACTAACACCAATTTTTTCTAAAGTGGTCATTTTTCACAGAGAAATAGTAACT